ATTAATGCTACAAAGGATGGTCCAGGTATATTTATTTTAAAGTTAGGAGTCTAAGCCAACCAGAAACCTTTTATCCGGGGAATCTCCATCTAGAATCTAAACTTAAGCCTAAGACCTATGCCCTAAGCCTAAGCGCTGGCCTGCTCTCCAAAATCAAAGATGCCTTGTGGTTCGCGAGAACCAACACCAGCATGTCCTGCACTACGATGCTCTCCAAGATATTCCTCTCGCCCTGAACGGTGTTGAAGATGGCCTCCGGCTGCTCTGGCGAGCAATCATCAACTCTCACAATTCCATCTAAGCGTCTGCGAAGAGTGTCATAGGTCACGGCGCAGTTGCGGCGCTTCTGCAGCACATTCAACAGCATGGTAAATTGACGATCCTTGCCTGCACGGGCTTCTGCATCCGAACCAAGATCCTCGAGCTCCTTCTCGTCCACTCGATATGCGGAAGCCGCCGTGATGAAATCCACCTGCTCGCTGAACAACTTGGCATGAGGATGGTGCCCGAGGATTGCACAAGCCCTCGATGCGACTGCGGTCTCATTGGAAGCCTTCACAACCTCCAAGAGGTGAGAGTTCTCCTGTCCTCAGCCCCCCCATCCAACAAAGGAAAAAGTGTGATATACCAGGCCGACTATGGATGTTGAGACGGCCCAAGTGTTTCTATGACACTCTGTATTTCCTGGGATACTGCCCCACGCATTAACAGTTGGATAAGTGGCTATAGTTACAGTTAGTTAGTGCTGGTTGGCTAGTTAGCTAGTTTTGTATAGGCCTATAGGCAGTATGGTGCATTATCCAACGACTACTAAATTACTAAATCTGGTATATCCCGAACTTCTGTCCCGATCGTAAACGTCAGAGGTTTCCTGGTCCTGGTCCTAAGTACATATCTGGCTTCGGCATGTCCTTTTGTCCGGGCGACAAGGTTGGTCACGGCTACGGCCACGCAGGCTGTAGGCTTTGCTGGAATCCTGATAATAATGGACCCTACACTTTTCACTATACTATACTATACCATACCAAAAAACTATACTATACTATACTATACTAGACTAGACTAGACTATACTATACTATACTAATCTCTATTACTATATACTGCACCGGCTTACGTGGCCACCTCTACCTGGTAGAGGTGGCCATGTAAGCCGGTGCAGTATATAGTAATATAGTCTACCTGTTGTCACCTGTCACGGCTTGGGGTCTGCATCGCAACACGTCCCTCTAAGTCTCCGCTGCTTGACTCATGTGGACCCACCTCCTGCACAGCATCGCGCATGAGATGGAAGCTTGCAACTCTCGTCTGCACAGCGAACTCGCTCGTCTCGTTCGGCTTCATGTTGTGTTGAATGCTGCGGCTGTCCGCCTTCGTAACCAAGTTCTTGAACTCTTCCACCTCCACAAACTCAAACAAGGACGGCAAAGCTCCTTGCTTGGCTTCTCGGCGGGCCTTCAACCACGACTCCAACGTCTTGCGCAACGTTGCTTGGTGAAGGGCAACATTGTGAGCGGTAGCCCACCGGTGTAGGAGGTTCGCGGCATCGAAGCACTGGGGCACCTTCTTGTACTGCCCGAGCATGGTCATCAGGCTGTCCACGTCCTCGGAGGTTAAGCCGAACTGCGGCGCAGCAGCTTTCTCGTCGTAGATGCTTTCAGCTTTGCCCACCAATCTCTTGATGAACAGGTGCAGCAAAGCTGGAGTCCGTCCACGGCGCAAGCCCTTCTCGAACTCGGGAAGGTTCTCGTACGCGAACTTCAAGTCCTCGAGGCAGCATGCTTCCTCGCCTTCAAGCTTGCTCTTCACCAACTCGAACTTGGGCTGCAAGAGAAGCGTCGTAGCGCCCGTGCGCACAACATCCGCTGCCTCCTCCTGCAGATATTTGCGCGCCGCCTTGGCTGTCTCATCTGCACTGGTCCGTTCGGGCTGTGTCAGCACCCGGTTGATAGTCTTTTCGAAGGTCTGGAGGCCCTCGAACTTCAGAAAGAACTCCACATGCTTCATGTTGCGAAGCGGATGATCGTGCTGCAAGAGCTCGAAAACGCATCCAGCAAACCTCTTGCAATGGTTCACTGTCCCCAGCACGGGAGCCATGTCTAGGCGATCCAAAAACTTCTTCGGTCCAGGTCTGGTTGGATCCTAGAACTTATGACGCCCAATACAATGTCTACTTGGCGTCATGTGGGGAAAGCACTCCTGTAGCCAACTCCTGAAGTATAATTGTGCACAGCAATCCAGAGTCTACGGCATCAGTGGCTGCAAACAGTTCGGAGGAAAAGGTACTCCGAGTTACATGACGTTGAGCTTTACTAAGAAAGTCAATCAGATGGCCTCTTACATGCTTTGATCCTTTGACAATAGCAGCTTGGGACGTCCTCACGCTGATCAAACCTCGCACAGATAAACCATCATCAGCCTTGGCCTTAAATGAAGAATCAGAGATCTGAATCAAGGCGTCAGGATAGCAATCAAGCCTGGGATACACAAGCTTCCGCGGATTGGCTTGGATCCACTTCAACAGCATGTTCAGCCGTCGGGCGTGTATGTTCTTGGCTTGATGAGCTTCCCTCTGCAATGCCGTAACAAATACTGCAATGTCTGGCCTTGTCTGCAGACTGTAAGCGATCGTCATCAATAGGCTCAAGAAGTGGCGCCGATTGGACTCAGAAAGTGGCTCCTCGGCTGGTCCTGCCAGCACTGCCGGAATGGACATCGGCTTGCACGCTGCTAAGAACTTTATCTGATCCAAACTGATGCTACCATCTTCTGCCTGGCAGTGACGAATACCGCAAAATGTAAAATCTTTCCAGTCAATGTCCATCTTGCCAAAGGTCGCAGCGACATGCGCCACGAACTTCTCAATGTCCTTTCTTTGACCCATCATCTTAAGGTCGTCGACATGCTTCACGATGGCTAGTGTGAGCACCCCTCTCACGAACAAGAGCTCCAGTTCAGGATCAACAGTGGAACAGACGAACCCATAAGAAGAGGTTACTTCTCTCAACTTCAGACTGAAGCACTTAGGGGCGTCTCGACATCCCGTTCCAGGCTTCAAGCAATGAAGCACTTCCGTTCGCGCGCAGAAGTCACTGAACTCAGGCAGTAGTCGGAGACAGCGCAATCCCTCACCTGCTAACTCGAAGTTTACGTCCCACTCGGGCTTTCTTGTAGCAGTCGCGAGCTCGCTGTAGCTCACTCCTTGAAGGAATGCCTTCGGTACGTCCGACGAAGCAATAACCCAATCGCGTAACACGCACTCTGAGACTAAAATTCTCTGACTCAGTCTCGTGCCTGTTGCCGCGTAGTTGGACTGATCATCGGCTCCAGTCTCCTTGAAACCCCTAAGACAAAGCCTAGCTCTTATCTTACGTTGACCCTTTATGACCTTCCACTTGTACACCCAGCGCGTGTCTATAATGCACTTGGCACCGGCACGGGGTCGACGCTCAAAGCATTTGAACGACTGCCATGTCTTGAGCTCGTCAATCACCGCCTGAGTGATCTCCTGAGCATGCTGAGCAATCTCACTCTGGGTCAGAATGTCATCATTCCGATCAATCACTGCCTTCCTGGTGTGTGACTCGTAGCAGCGAAGTTCAACATGCTCTCCAGCTGCTGGGGCATGTGACACACCTTCTATGCATTTCCAGGAACTGCCGTGAATCTCTAATGCCACATAGGCACCGACATCATCGGCATCCAAAGCACTGAAGCCATCAGGCGTTGAATCGCATTGGGCAGCAGCCTGCTCAAATGCATGTTCACTCAGATGTTCGAGGCTTTCTGGCATCGGTGCTTGCGACCATGCAGGATGCATATCAAACGATGCGAGGTCCTTAGAGGCGTCTATGCTTACCGGGTTAGGACTGCCGGGGCATATCTCCGATGAACAGGATTCGTAGGCCTCAACTAACCATGGCACGTCGTCTGCTGCGATGCCCTGCCCGAACATCTCACATAAGTGGGACCATGTGATGAGACTGTCAGAAGAGCTCAGGCTTTCTTCGTTGGTCAACCGAGCCATCATCACCGACATCAGCAGCAGCTGTTGCGCTAGGCTCTGAGGCTGCAGATGTCTCACCTGACGGCACAACCCAACGGCGGACAGCAATCCAATCCTCCGTGTCGGCTACACAGAGAAACTGTATCATCCTCACTTCCTTCCACCTTTGTCCTAAAACATCAACCCAGCTGAGCTTGGAAGAGTCGCTGTGAAGAAACTCCAGCTGCCTGCTCCCTGCAGCTGTCCACCACAGGGTGACAACTGACACAAACTCATCTCGGGACGTCAAAGTTCTCACACCGGAGGCCAGACGGACGGCCGCCACGTGATTGAGATGAAACACAGTTTCGGCTTATGTAGATACACGCTTGGCAGATCACACGGTGCGCTTGAGTCTGGGGCGTTTCGATCCATTCACCTTCAGAGGTTTTGATGGTGCCCAGGGTCAGAACAACACCTGGGCGCATTGCATCAACGAACTGCTGTGCAAGGCTCTGGGCATTGCTTGCTTGACTGCCAGCAGGTGCAATGTGATCGACGGCACCGAAAAACACACTCAGCTCTTCGGACCACAACGACAGGCTGTGTCTCAAGTCCTGCAATCGACAAGTCAGCACTTGGTCCGTGCTGGTTCGGATGCCAACACGACCATGCTCAAGGCGAGTGAGGTCGGCCACAGTTGCCGGGCCACGCCACCCTGAGGTGTCCTTGCCAAGCGGTTCACGCCAGTAATCAACTGCATCCCCGACCTTGAATTCATGCTCAACGCCCGCGGGGCGTGTTTGAGAATTCATGGCACGTCGCATGCGCTCTCTGGCTGTCCCTTCGGCGATAGCCTGAACTGCCACCTCACGCAACCTATGTGAATGCTGGGAGCACGGACCTGGAATGTCGTCAGGCATGATGTTTTCCTCGCCAGGCAACAAAGCTGGTACTCGGCCCAGCACCGCAGCATACAGTGACTGACCATTGACGGGTGTCAGTGCATTCAAGGCGAAGGTCGCCTCAGACACCATACGTGTGAAAGGGATGGTCAACCCTTCCTCAGCCAGCTGTGATGAAAGCTTGTGAAGCGTATCACGAAGGACGGCTATTTTCCGGTCAGCAATGCGGGCATGCTGATTCGGTGCTGCAGTACGCTTAGTGATTCCTTTCAGCTGACAGAAAGCGGTTGACTCTTCGTCATCTAATCCTGTCTCACCATCCCAAACTAGCACCTGCATCGGCCCGAAAATTGCGAGCCACATCTGGTCGATGCATGTTAGGAGAGTGTCGGTCTGCTTGTTTGATGCAAGAGCAGTGGCAGTCCAACGTACCCCCCTATCAACCAGAACAACGATGATGTGCTGTTTGCCTTGGTGTCGGTAAAACATACGGTCTCCCTCCACTTCGATGTTGAAGCCAACAACCATGCGGCACGAGGCTTTAGCATCGGGGCTCGGACGGGCCCAATGCCGGCAGACACGACATGTATCAACTATGTCGGGTACTAAATCGCTTGCTTCCTTGGGGATGCCTGCAGCACGAAGAAGACGCTGCATCTTGTCTGCACTGGCGTGCCACCACCGGAGGTGAAGTTTTCGCAGCAACCGACGCTGGCCAGGCTGGTCTGAATTGCGAAGGGCTCGGAAGCAAGACTGCGCAGGCAGAGCTCTTACGCGGTTGTGACACTACGTGACGACAGTCAGGTCCGAAGGTATGACCTGGGTCAGCTCTGGTCTTATTCTTGCGGCAAGCAGGGCAGTCAAACACGATGGATTCCACATCTGGATGTTTGCACTGGCCGCGGACTCGGCTGTGCAGAGGATTGTTCTTGTCAAGACGCCAAAGGCACCCTTTACACTTTCGCCATTCCTCAGGGACCTCAACTGTCCCTTCATCACCCGGCCCTGAGCCTACACTGGGATAAGCAGCGGAAGTCTCCGCAACTAAGCTGGAAGAGAAGTACTCAGGACCTTGGACAAGCATTGCCTCGGTCAGCTTCTCGATGCTTGGGGCAACACGCCTGCGCATCTCATATGGCCACGGCTGGGAGTACCGGGATGAGTCACACTGTGCTGGTGCATGCACATGAGCAGCGTCGCACCGTACATTTGCAAACGGCTGCAGGATCTGCACAGCATTTGACACCAGCTCCGTGGGTTTCTTGAGCAGCTGGCCGTCAGACTGCGGTCCCAACATGCACTGATCAAGAACAACACGATAGCAATCAGCACGTGCCCTAAGGACAGGCCAGGGCTCCACCTGATACAGCCGTGAAGGATAGGGCTGTTCACACAGAAAGAAGCGGTTGCTTTGGGCTTGGTGTCGCGCAACCTCACCTGTGAAGCGGGACAATGCAGTAGCTCCAGTGAGAACAGCACTACGGTGGCTGCCTGCTGACACGTAGGTGTTTGAGCTGGACGTTGTACCACCACTGCTCTTTGGGGCCAGAATGACAAGGAGCGGCTGAGCATGGGACAGATAACTGAGAAACTTGCCCTGCGTGCCAGCATCAGAGAAGCAGGCGCTGGCAACTAACTCTAAACACTGACCTGTAGGCAGCTTGCGACGGACACACAGTTGGCCTGAGGGACCACTTCCGCCGTACAGCTCAACCACTTCAGCGCCCCAGGATGCATGGGCCGGACTGGCCAGCAATGACAACATCTCGTCTAAGTCCACGGCATACACTGTGCACGGTGAAGCATCAGGGCAAGTGGAAGAGGAAGAGCTTGCAGCTCCCCACGTAGTAAACGCATTCATCTGCTGGGAGACTAAGTGATACACCAACTCGGCTGCCTCATCTTCACAGTCAGGAACATCGAGAGTGAGATACTCTCGAACAGGCAGCTTGAGGCTCGAGAGATCCTCACCGCAATCATCGAAGTGCTGCTCCACAGTCTTCTTCTTCTTGCGGACTTGCAAGGGACGGCCTTGCTTGAGCATTTCCTGCTCGCGCTGGCGCCTCATCAGCTTTTGTTCGGTTGGATAAGATGTCGTGGGCTCCGAGGGCTCAGCGAAACTCGAAGCCGGAGTCGTAGTACCTTCTGTCAACGGACTGCCAGAGGATGACAGGGGACCTTGAAACCTAACGGCTTGCTGCCAAGCTGGCTTCACTGTGCATGGTTCCTGACAGAAGGCACAGAAGGACGAGGCGTTGCCTCGGGGCAAAACTTGTGTCAAGCCGCACACCTGACAGCAAAAGGAACACAATGGGTCGGAAGGTTTTGTGGACTCGGGACCAGAAGAAGGCTGTACGAGCTGGTCCAGAGCGGGCATTAACATCATCATCACCTGGTGCTCTGCAGTGGCTCTCACCTTGGCGCTTCCCTCCCCTTTCAACGAATCTAGATCAAAGGTATGCTCAATGTCTGGACGACACTTGCATTCATGACAAGGAAGCTTCACTGTGCTCAGCACCTTGTGCCGAACTGCACTGGCAACGGTGTCGGGCGAGATCTTGGCATTAGCTCTGCACCAGTGGTGATGACTCACATGCAAAGGGCCTTGAACAAGTTGCTTAAAAGCTTCATGTTGCCACACGGTACGACGGACAGCGGCAAAGAACATGGGCACTGATTGGCGCTCGGCCCAAGTGCGCAGGACATGCAGTCGGTTGCACACTTGAGGCGTGCGCTCCTGACCGGCGAACTGCCGGGGATCTGACAGGTCAACCCACACCATGGAGAATTCAGACTGTTTCAACCGGTATAAGGCATCGTCGAACCCATCACGCAGCAGCTCCAACGGCCTGAGCTTCATCGGCTCCCACCCTGCATCACGGAAGGCTGAAACGGTGGAGTGGAACAGGGTCACTAGCAGCACACGCTTCACGAACTGCAATGGACTACACCTGCTCGCTCCACGATTCTGCGACTTTACACCTGGCTTGGCTGATGAGTCCTGCTTGTTGTGACTGGTGACCGGCATGGCTGATGTGCATGAGTCCTGCTTGTTGTGGCTGGTGACCGGCATGGCTGATGTGCTAGTTGCCAAAGAGGACTCTGCTGATGGCGGGGAAACTTGAGGTTGCTGATTATCAGACATCGAAGTCTGATCACGGGCACTCGAGTCATCTGCTACACCTGCCTGGCTGCATCCAACCTCTGGCACCTGATGTTCAGCTTGCAATGCAATTTCTGAGGACCCAAATCCAGGAGGGGAAAAGCCAAGCTGAACAAGCTCCGAAAGTTTTGACTGGTCCAGCTTGTACACAGTGCTGGGCGTAAATGCAGCCAACACTACTCGCGGACCTGAAGACCACGGCTGGGTGGCATGGCGGCGCTTAGGACTAAAGAAGACCGGCATGCCTGGGCTCAGAGCAACGTGATGGCCCACACGAAGAACGCCCTCATCCTTGAGAAGCACCGGCTCTGAGCACACAGTGTCACCTGGGCCAAGCTCTAACCACAGATTGCCTCCAGAACGAGGCACCGTAATCGGCAGGAGGATGTTTTCGCCTTGATTGAACCTGTCAATATGCACAGGCGACTGAACATCACAGATCAGCATCACAGCTGAAAACTCACGACCAGGGGCAGTCGTTGAAATCATGCGGCACAGCATGGTGCAAAGATTCGGAAACATCTTCGAAGCATCCGTTATGCCAGTCATGCCACCATGAGTGTATGCGCCAAAGCATTGCGACATACCTGAGGCCTGGAAGCGCTCACGTGCTGGCGCTATTGCACGGCTGCAGAGAAGAGCATGATTTCGCTTCAGTACTGCTGCAGCTGCATCGTAAGTGAAAGATGCAAGCACTTCCACGCACTGCTTATCTACCTCGGCGAATGCTAGTCTCTGGCTGTGGCTCACATGCCACGAGGACTCTGCTGATGGCCGTGGGGAAACTTGATGTTGCTGCCCCGTTGGGCGCTCGTTGTCAGCAAAGAGGTGGTGCTCGCCAACAACTTCGCCGCCCTTGAGGGCACTCTCAAGCTGAAAGGTTTCTGCACCAGGGGGCAACACAATCGTAGCTTCAGTTCCTTGCGGTAGGAAGTGCAGTTGCTTTCGACCAGTGTCAAGCAATGCACCGTTCTGCGCTAGAGTCCTCAATCCCAGAAGCGCGGGGCACGCACTACCACGCACTACAGGAGAAGTGAACGAGCCTGTGGCAATGGATCCATCATCACGCCGCATGGCGATGGGCAACTTACAGTCTTGGCCACAGGTCTGGGCTCCATGTCCAACTCCACCGACTTGAAGCGGTTGTGCTCGGTGTTGGAGGGCAGCAGGCTTGCTTGTGCGAGCAGCGGCTTGCTCAAGCCACTGTTCTCCTACAAGGTTTCCATAAGAGCCCGGGTCAACGAGGAGGCCGATGCGACCATCGGCCAGTCGAACATTAGAGTGATAAGCGGTCTCTGGCTCGACCGCGGCATGCGTGGCTTTCTGATGTGAGGGTACAGGCCACCAAGGATAAGCATTTGGAGACATGAACACATCGGCATCCTCATCATCATCTAGACCTGGCCGTTGCGACGGTGTGGTCGGCGCATCCAGTGGCTCAGCTTGGTGCATATAAGCGCTGCTTATCTCAGCATCAGCCGCTGCAGCATCCGGCACGTCTTCATCATCAGACATTGTGGGATCTTGGGCGGCGGCTCGTGACGACTGAGATCGTTCTGCAGACACACTCAAATCAGGGAAACGCCAGGAGTGGACTGTCGAAACTATCGACCTGCAGAGCGGGCACTCAACTTGGAGGGTTCCAGCATCAAGCTCTGCACCACTGTGCAAGGCCAGTTCTCCAACACACACACAATGATATGTGTGACCGCACTGCAACCTACAAATGTGATCCCTGGGCTGGTACTCCTCCATGCAAATGGTGCATGATGTGGCATGTCCGTGAAATGATTGGCGGCGAGGCGGTGACACCTGCGGCCTGGAATCAGAGGCTGGCACAACAGGATCTGAGTCTCGTCGCCCATGGCTTTGCCGCAGTGCATGGACCTGGCCAAACATTGACAGTGCTGTGCCACCTGGGGCAGTTGCGGCAGCAGTCGGCTGCGTGCTACTGGCAGCGGTGACGGGCTGAGTCGCTGCGCTGGCACTGTCACGGGACAAGAGTGCTGCACCAAGTGGGGCATTCACATTCCGCTGAATCAATGCTGGAAGGGCACTCAGGTCTGAGGGCTGAACGGTTGCACCTCCAGTCGATGTTCCTGTTGATGTGGTTGCTTGGGCCATAACTCCTTCTCGGACCTGCTAGGTGGCAACTGCGATGCAAGCCCACTACCAAACCCAAGCATTTCCCCAAAGGAGGTCCTAGGGCCAACCCTACCTAAGCTTGGCATTACCCATTCGGACTGGCGAGTCTGCAATGCCTGCTGTCCACTTATCCTTGAAGCAGCAAGCGAAGCTGGCATACTTTGCAAAGGAGGCTGAGAGGGCTGCAGCTGCTCTGTAGGACCCTACAGAGCACTGGGCATGGCATCGGCAGGCGCAGGCTCAGCAGCAGCTTGTGCCGGAACAGTGTGGGCTGAAGCATTCTGAGTCGATGCTTGCGATCGTGGGGTCATGATGTTGGCCCATGAGCTATCAGACTCGAAAGTTGCAAAATGCAAACCTGCACTGCTCCCGGCTGGCTCCACTGTATATGATGGGCCAGTGCGTGGAGGCTGGCCTGAGGGGGCACCTGAACTAGGACCTGAAGTCGAGGAATCGCGGCGTGGGCATCTTGCACGCAAATGAAAGGCTGAACCACAGATGCTACACTTCAGGGGCTCACCATCCCTGCCGCGAGGATTGCCTTTACGACCAAACCCCTTTCCGGTACCTGTGCCACCCTTGCCCTTGCCCTTGAAATATGCTGACTGCTGAAGCAACGAGTCTATGTTCAGGTAACTGCTACGCTGCTTGCCTTTGCCCTTTCCCTTTCTGCGAATCACTCTTCGCAATGCACGAACTGGCTTACCGGAATACCTTCGCCACCTCTTCTTAGCAGCTTGGTACTGGCCAAACAAGTACTCATCTACCTCGCCTGTGCTAAGGCCTTGCAAATCTTCAACCGGAAGCGGCTCATCATGATCCGAGCTTGTGGCACTGTCTGTGTCAGATGCACCATCACCTGCGGCGCTGACTGCTGCAAAAGCCCAGTCAGTTTGATCACCTTGAGGAGGCCAGACACCACTGCTGGAGGCTTCTGCGCTCGCCCCCCAAGGGTCTGCAGGGGTTTGCGATGCTGGCTCGGACATAAATGCTTCGCTGAAGTGTGCTGTGGAGGAGCTTGCACGCAACCCTGAAGCTATGTTATTCGGAAACCTCTCTACTATGTGACCCATACGTCTTAAATGATGACACATAGCGTTAAACTCAGCTTCATTGTTCGGAAGGCGCAATCCGAAAGGTTGAGTCAAAGTTTGAAATTGATTTGAAGAAATTCCACACGTTCGCAACAAAGTTAGAGCCGATGTCTCCACTGACAACGCTCCTCCTCCTTCTGTCGCGGCCCTCGCTCGAGTGATTTCAAAGCGGGAAATCAAGGTGTCGATTGTTTCGCCCTGTCTTCTAGCAAAAGTCAATAAAGCTTGCGCCGCTTGCAGTCTGTTCTCCTCATCAAGCGGACCAAAGCGAGTGGAAAGACCATGCATAAGAAAACTCACAGGATCAAGTTGAACACCGTTGATTACACCACCACCAAAGACCTCTGCAGGAGACAATGTACGAGCAAGTTCTCGGGCCTGACCGCCAAGCTGACTGATGATAGCTGCACACTGTTGTGGAGGTTGCATGTCTGTGCAGATTGTCCAAAGCATGACATCCTGCATCCATGTCCTGAAAGGTAACACACCCTCCATGTTGGGATCCCAGCGTGGTGGAAGACGATTGGAGCTGAAGGCTTGCCCAGGCTGAAACATGAATATCAAAACCGAAACTGTACTCAAGACCATTGCAAAAATACCCAGAAGTCTCACGCGCTGACTGCCAAAAACTGAAGACCCTGTAACCTTGTCACGAGAGTATAACCGGCGTGTCTCATGCGCTGAGTCATCCGAGTGTGTCCGGTTGACCAGAATGGTTTCCTCAACAGCTGGGACTCTCCTGGAAAGTTCTGGGCTGCTGAGGAACACATCTGATCGACAAAAGGAGGCCATTGCCAAAACTACAGTAACTCGTAGCATCATCGCGCCTGAAAAGCCAGACGCTCCGCTACCAGCTCGAAAGCTGGATAATGGGCTCAACTGTTTTCTCTAACCAAAAGCTGAAAGTAGTCCTGGGCACCCACGCTGCGGTCCCCGCAAGCTGAGGGTCGTCAGATGCACAATGAGTCCCTCCCCCCCAAAAAAAAAGAAACTGTCTACGAATGCTGCGTGGCTGCCAAGAAAGCAGCCAGCTCTTCAAGGAAACGGATCAATACTGCCCGCGTGTCCACATCCACTGCCGAGCAAAACAACTCGATTATTGTGTCGCTTCCCAAGCACTCCATGAGCTCCGCAGCCAAGCCCTGCACGGCGTCTCGCTAGGAGCTCGTCACATATCTAGAATCTGCTCAACTCAAGGACTAAACTTAACCCGCAGTCCTTACATCTTCATAAACAGTTTAGCAGCGTATGTATGCAATAGCTCAATAGCCTCCGTACCCAGTTTTCACAGTAGTCACCATTGCTTCTAGGATTACAGGACCTAGGAATCTAGCCGTGCATAAGTGCACAGTGACGCTTGCAAGAGTGACTTCAAGAGTGCATAGTAATGCATATATCCATATAGCGGATCTAGCGCGGCGCCGTTGTATATAATCACCTAGAATCCTAGAATCTTGAAGCTAGAACAATATAGTATCACTCATGAATCTCGTCGTGACAGGGTAGGGTGCAGGGACCAAAGCGGCACACATACTAGCTGCAGCTAAGGGCATAGGGCCTTGTCTAGGGCAGTTTAGGGCCAAGGAGAATATGCTAATTAGCGACTCGCGATCCTAAGGTCCTAGGGTGGAACAGCCCCATAGGACCTAGGACCTAGGACTGCGACAAGCACCTTCTCGTGTGCTACTATTCAACAAATATTCTATGGCATGGAATCTAGACAGGCAATCGCGGCTGTTGTTCTTCCAAGTCTTAGTCGCGGATGCGTGCCGGCGAACCAGCCAGACAGGTTATGATTATAACGACTATATACTATACTATACTGTACTATACTATACTGACTCCACTCTACTCAACTCTGCTCAGGCTCTCTTTGCATTATATTTTCTTTGCTATACTATACCACTATACTACCTTAGCCCTAGACCTTAGACTCCCTAGACCCTCGGCCCTAGACTCCCTAGACCTAGACAGTGACTATGACTATACAATCCAGACAATAGGGAAAAATACCAAACAGTGCAAACCAAAGCACCGCCACCTACATTCTCTGCCAAACTATTCTGGTTCATTCCTGGTCCTAGTCCTGGTCCTATGACATAAACTGACATAAACCCAAAGCAGCAACCGTGATCCAATGCAACTGAACGCCAAAGTTGATCAGCTGCAAAATGGCACTGGACTCACTCTTCATTAATTGAAAACCTGAGGTACACTCGATCCGACCTAGCATACTTACTCTCTTCCTCGCCTGGACATCGCTAGCCAGCTGTTTGGTAGCCTCCTCCCGCTCCGTAGAAGCCTGCGCGAACAACTGCAACTCGGCATCCTGCTCCACGTCTTGATCGAACCAGGCTCTCCCCCTGGTTGTTGGTATATGTTGGTATGGCACGCTTCGTGACTGTGTGCCGCTGCGCTGAGGGGATGAGAGCTCGCATTTGGGAGGCGCGCCCCCCCTCAGGTACCAAAACTGCAGCAAGTCCGGCGGTTCCTCGTAAACCGTTTCGGAGCCTCCAGCTTCTGGGATTTCCCCCCAGCGGTCTTTGGCTTCTTTCAGCAGCGCGTCCACTGAGTGCTCATCATACGCCAGGTTCATGATGAGCTTCTGTGGGTGGCGTTCATTGATACGGTAGTATCGCAGCAGTTGTCGAGCTTTGTAGCGTATTTGCCTCTGCTTTGGCTTCCCCCAGCTCTCTTTGTACTTGCTCCCCCTCAACCTCTGTATACTCTCTGTCCAGGTGAGCGTCATAGAAGGTCGTCTCCGCCTCATCGGTAGCAATCTGCAACAGGGGGCGCGTTATCCATGTAAAGCGTTTCTCGGTGAACTTGTCTATGAGGGCGCGCCATGCTCCCCCGTTGTAGGGCTGAATCCCCCGACAGCGTAACTTTACGTAGTTTTCAGTAGTGGCTCCCACACGCTGTTTCGGGCCTTTCCCGTAGGTTGACGGTTAGTTTCCCCGTGCAGCCATGGGCTTTGCGAATACCGGGGGTACATCTTCCCATCATCTTCCCCGTCCTTGGCGGCATAGTCGGCAGACTGCTCCGTTGTATGCGGTTGCCATTCTTCCCCTATCCAGAGGAGAAGGCCCAAGTCCACCAAGTGGTGAAGATTGCGATCTCCCCCTCCTTGCCACTATCACGACCTGGTACTTGATGCTCTCCCCCTGCCCAATGTCGAGGTACTCCGGGATCTGCGATGCAGAGGGCTTTGTGTCCCCCAGGGGCTTGAGGAGGAACGTGTCGCCAGACACCACAAGGCGATCAACCTAGTTCTTGCAGTGTCCCCCTCCTTGAGGTCGAAAAAGAGTCACGAACTTGCCGTGGAGGACGTATGGCTTCGAGGAACTACCCCCGCTTTTTAGCTTTACACTGGGAAGAGGAGGGGGGTCCAGGCTCGTGGGCAAGACTAATTAAAGTTGCTGGCTCCTTTAATTGGTCTTTCCTTTGCCGCCTTTGTCCTGCTTGTCCTTGTGCCAGCAGTGTCGCGCCCAGTGGCCAGGCTTTCTGCATATGTTGCATGTGCTTGTGTCTTGTTTCTTGTTGTCTTTGTGTCCTTTTCTTCCACTGCCTTTACCTTTTCCTTTGCCTTTCTGGTCTTCTTTTCCTTTTTCTTTACCTTTTCATCCTTTTCCTTTGTTGTTCTTGCCTCCTTTCCCGAAGCTTCCAACATCCATCGCGTCGGGGTTGGCTGACACAGGGCCGTAACCAATCTTAAGCTTCATCCCCACTCTGGTTTCCAGGTACGAAGAACTCTCATCGTACACTTCTTCAAAGGTATCCAACCTTTGTCTGTTCAGTTGCAAATGCGTTTCCAGCTCAACTGGGCAAATGCTTTCCATGAAAGAAATCTTGATATCGTTGGGAACCTCGGCTCTTCCGCCGGCTCCTCTTCTATCTTCGTACCTCTACCAGTTCCATCCATTGCTCAAGGTAGGCCGATAACTCCGAAAGTTTCTGCATTTCAGGTGTAAGAATGTGCTTCAAGAAGCTCTTCTTTCTTCCACCCGTCGCTGGGTCGTATCTCTTAGATAATTTTCTCCATCCTTCTATAGACCCTATTCTAGGCCGCTGCCTGTGGCTATGTTCCGGATGATGGAGAACGGCTCTTCTTCCAGAAGGCTCTGCAACACAGCATCTAGCTGGGCGAACTTGTTTGCGTATCCTTCTATCTCTCCTGGGGCGCCTCCCGTGCCGAAAGCAGCCCGGATTTGCGCCATGCTGATTGCAGCTCTTGTTCTGCTGCCCATTCAAGGGCCTTTTCCAGCTCGGGAAGCACAGAGAAGATAAAATTCTCCGTCTTCGTGTTCCATCGAAGATAGTTAACTTTTTCTCCGTTGAAATGGTCGGGCTTAGCAACACCTCTGTTGTCAACCAAGGTGAGCTCCTTGCCCCGGCTTCTATCAAGTTCTTCTGTCATCCTCGTTTGCCCTTCGGCAATGGTTCTCGCTAGATCAGTCATGTTCGTTCCTTGCTCAGTTCGGTTCTCAAGTACCGATTCCCGTTGTCGGCTTATCTGAAGTTCCTGCGTAAGCTCCGTCACTCTCTGGGCTAAGCCTTGTATCTGCATCATAGTTTGCTGAAATTCTTCGGCGGTGGGTGTCGTCATTGCTGCAAGGAGAAATGCCTTCTACAGCACAGAGGGGAACTGGGTTCAAGGTTCCCCGGAAGGAGCCGAGAGCTCCGCTAGCATGATTAAAACAAAAATATATATATATATGTATATATATATATATATTTATATTTATATATGCTAAGCCCCCGCCATGAACCACCGCGAGGTGCCGCGACAACGCCACCAATTCTCCTACGTTTAGGCTTCTGGTGTATGACCCAGGTTTAACGTTAGGTTTTGAAGTTCCGAGGAAACACCATACGTATAAAACTCAAAACTC